TAACCAATAATGCTAGGCCCGAGCCTGGGTCTAGCCCTGGCGGACGCCTAAATAAAAGGACACTGCGCGACGCGCCAAGCTATCGAAACGCCTTCAGAAGTCATATTGTTGTCGATGTCGACCTCCGCACGTACGCACAGGTCACAGGCAAGCACATCAGTCAACGAGACATAATCTTTTTAATCCCTGTTTAATCAGAAGAAGAAAAAATTTGGTCGGCGATCACGCCGACTCTTCAATCATCAACAATTAAAAGGATCATGTGCGCCACAAAAACCCACGTGCCCACACACTCTCTACCCTAGTCAACCATCCAGCCATCGTAGACACATAGACGCAGCTGCGCCTCGCGCGGAATGCTTAAATTTTAAACCAAACCTATTCTCTGTCGCATGTAAAAACCAGGGCAGATACCCATGTAAGGGTATTCGCGCCGACACCGTCCCAAATCCGAGGGGCTGTCTCACATCGGAGGGACGAGAAGCACCGGCTGCCTGTCCTCAGAATCGAAAATTAATGAAAACAGAGTTCCCGAATGGGTACATGCGGCTTGGTATACAAAAACAACAGCTATTAGGGCGGAGATGATTCAGGACAAGAGTGGCCGCAATCTACATGCCCCACGAAACAACAAGTGCGAGATGGCCTCAGAGATGGTGAAATTTCGTCCGAAATCATCCAGTTGAATGGGCCCATGGGACAACTTGTATAATAGTCGTAGCCAAACCCCATCTACCAAAAAATTGAGTCCCAAAAAAATCGAGGCCAGTAGGCCTGCTTAGCAATCATGGCCAAGCCCCATTTGCACCTAGTAAAAACACGCAGGGTTCAGTGACCATGCAGAAATTAAGGAGACATTAGTGTACAAACGAAAATACTACCTCCGCCGCCTCAAGTCCAAACTTATCACCAAAATGCCGGAAGGTGGAGAGTACCGCTCTCAAAGAATAACCTCGGAGAAGAAGTTCCCTTTTGACCGCCAAAATCGTCTTACACTGTCCCCAGCAGTCAGTCATAAGTCGAAAAAGACGATGCAAGGTACTGAGGATATCACCCAACTAGGAGAGCTTGTGATCAGGGCAGTCCTTTTCGGTGGAGGCAGCGGAAGGACAGGGGGAGATGGAGGGGAGGGGGAGGAAATAATCCACAACAACGTCCGGAATTCTGATTCTCCTCTCAAGCGTAAACAAATAACTTCTGGTGGGGTGGTGGGTTGGTCCTGAGGGGGAGAGCTCTACTCTGCGAGGGCTTCACAAGGAGGGAGGTGATTTCCCTGAAGGGAGACGGGGCAGATTTTGGGGGATGCTTTATTCTGGGGATGAGGGAGATGTATGGGTTGGCATCATATCCCAGTGGTGGCAGATAAGGGCAAGGGGTTGGCAGAGGCATACTTTGGGTGGGAACAGGATGCCTTTGTGGGAGTAGGGGGGGGAAACGGGTCTGTCCTAAGTTGGGGCCGATCAGGAATGTTCGTCATCGGGGGCAGTCCTTTTCAGTGGAGGCAGTGGTGGGGCAGGGGGATGAGAGGTAAGGGGGCGATTTCTATATCCTTTGCTTGTATTTGGTTTGGACTTTTTCTGATTCTTTCTGGAATTTCAAAACAAGCACCCTTGTTATTCCTGGTAGTTTGAAGAATCTCTCAGGACTTTTAGGGACTTCTGGTGGTTTGTACGAAGCTGCACTGGAATTGGACTGTTATATTCAGGATTCGTGGTTGTTCCATGCCAGAACGACGCTGGTCGGAGTCGGGGCGATGCCCTGCAACTTGTCGAAGCTGAGGGATGAGGCCTTGTAGAGAGATTTGGGGATGCTATGCGGGGGCATCCTAAGGGACAGCTGGGGGTTGCTTACACAGGACGACACTGGTCGGAGTTGGAGTGAGTCTCGTTGCTCTGTAACCTAGAGGATAGGGGGCCTGAGGTCTGGATGAGTTTGTCAGAGAATAAGTGAGTTTTTGTGAGCTTTGTTATAATCTGTTGAAAATCCCTTAGATACTTGAGTGTTCGGAGAATTGCGGCGGATTTTAGGAGGTGTTTAGCGATCGTAAAAAAATATTCGTAGTTTTCTCATCATCTATCCCGATTTTCAGTAGCTTGTTCATGATCTAATGACCTTGGTACCTCAATTTGTTCATAAATTGTCCATGTGTTCATATGGGACGTTGGGCCCGATTCCCGGCACGTGCTGCTCCCCACAAATAGACTGGGGCATGTCAAAAAAAAAAAAAAAACCACCCACCTTAGCTCTCTTTCCTGAGTATGAATTGAAGTCATGGAAACTGCAAAAAAACAATTTATCGGTATCCCAAATACAGGATGCATTCTTGATAATTGCAACCGTATGAAGAGTCAAACCATGCCTGTATACGTCAATACCAGCAAATACCCGGTGGCCTGAGCCATCATCTGTCCTTATCAGTCTAAGGACCGATCCATAGCAACTTTGAAAAATATATAGAATCCGTGCAGCATTGAGCTCACCATTTACCCCACCTACCGCAATGAAAATGGTAACATCATCGATACTCCTGAAACCTTCAACTAGACGACAATCCTGTCCCAACGAAGAGAGGAATTTTCATTCATAGAAGGTAAGCAGGATACATGCAAACGGGCAGCTAGAAGATTTGCCCATGGGCATACCAATTACCTGCCTAAACAGTCGGCCTCCCGAAAAAATGAAGGCAAAAGCTAGATCGAAGAGCACCATATCACAGATAGAAACAAGACCCACCGAAATGCATTCATCTCATGAACCACCAGAAGACAGTCAAGCCTTACGCCCTCTCTTTGACACCTTGACCCCCCGACAACCTTGCTTGCAAAAAAGTCAAGACACCAATCAACCGCCACAATGATATCATCGTGCGACAATGACACGAACATATCCTTAATCATGCTTAATGTCAAACAGGGAAGTAAGGATATCACGGAGGCTAGGTAAGTTACGAAATCGGCGCTCCATGTTCCGAATGTCGGGCACAGAGTCTATAATGGCCTTGAGATTGAAGGAAATCCGGCTAGGCAGCGCGAAGAGCAAAGAGTTAAGAGCACTGGTGACACGGGCACTAGCTATCCTGGTGGGCTCAACACACATAGGAGAGACGAGACGCCATCTGGTTAGATCCTTGTGTTTGGGAAACACATATGTGTTCCCAAACGTACCCGCTGGGTCCCACTTACCCAGAGATCTTCCTCATATCTTTCATTAAAAGACTATTATCGATATACACAGGCTCAAATGACACACTCCAATTGAAAGTCATGAATAGATAGTGGCAGTAAATAAGAGGACACACAATAAGACTATCAGCCACATTCTGATCTATAGGTACACAGACAAACCTCTTCATTATGTCTTACCAAGAAGAAAGGTCGTGGATGAAAGGGAGATCATTCCCATAATCAAGGAAAGTCCAACAGAGGGAAATATCCTGATTAGAAACGACAAAATCAGATCTCAGATAACAAGCGATCGACACCAATTGCTTACCTAATTCAACATGCCCATGTCTGGGAAGAATCCGCGGAATGTTTCGGGAACTCCTTAATAGGGTCGGAATCCCCGACACCTGCCAGATACGGGTACACACATGAGAACCAAGATGTACCCAGGCAGGTTCCAAGTGACAACAACAGACCGATTCGACATTAAGCCCCGCAAACCGATGGAAGTTCCAAAGGTAGCGGGAAACATGTCTGTTTTTGCGCCAAACAAATCACACATTTTCCGTAATAATTCCTTCACCCCTACCGGAAAAGTGGAAGCCTCCAAAATCTGAAGAACAAGCGTGTGAACCTTCGTGATGCTCAGTCTGTGATCAAAGAACATACACACAATGATACGCCTACGGACATCAACACCCACCTTGTTCCTAATAGCTCTAGCTAGAACTCCCCTCAAAGTAGTCTGAGCAACCTTCGAAGAAAAATCCCGGATAGCTTTGTACCATCGAACAAGCAAATCCACGTTCTTGAACTTGAGCAGGCGTCATCGCCAAGACTGATGCAACAGAATACAGAGATGCCCTTTAGAAATTGCCCTACCTCTAGGAGTGAAGATTACAGAGTGGAAGCAAAAAATCCCACCTTGTTTCAGTACATGCTTTAACTCCTTCAGAGGAAAACATACATTGCCAATACGAATTACAGAAAGTAAGAAACAGCGCCGGACCATAGGCCAAGTATCTACCCAAAGATTACCGCTAGAAGACTCAACCCCAAAAAAGTTTCGATTATGCAAAATAGCAAAGCGCAAAACAGACAATAAGTTATCCTTCCAATGACCCTGCCTATCCCGAAACTTGAGGATGCCCTTACGAAGTACAAGTACGTCCCTACCTCTCCTTCTAGAATGGGCTGGTCTAAGAGGTCAACGAGGAACACGAATCTTCTTGCGGAAATTTAAAATCGGCGAGAAATTCTTAATGAAAGACTCCTCTGCAACTTCAATAGAAACTACATCATTAAGAAGCAGGACGACGACATACTTGAAAACTCCGAAATGCCTCAACCAACGGTACAGCTTCATACAAACCCCGAACCCTTGCGATTTAACAGTTCGTACATGCTCACCCCAACGCACATAAATGCTACAGATGGACCTTTCTAAGATCCCCTCCCTCCGCGTGCAGGACAATGGCCATCATGTCTCGACTCGCCGTAGCGATATTGCCATACCTCGTGATGTCATTCGATGGCCTGTCCACCCGTTTCCAGGTCCCGAGGATGAGTTCGATGTCCTCCCACCGGAATAAGGAACGCAGAACATCACTTTGCACCTTCTGCGGTGCGAAGACAAAAATAACCCAATTAACGCCACAACACATAGTCATCATAGAGTGCAGAGCGTCGAACTCTTGGGAGGTCCATGTCGTGGAGAAGTTGGCGGGGGAGATGTCAAGGATGACGGCCCTTCAGGTCATTTTTTGCGCCGCAGCGACGATGTCGTCTGGCGCAGTCAGCACTTCCTTCAATGGCATGCAAACCAGTAGCAATGTTGTTTGCTTTTTAAGTTTATCTCACACGATATGACGTGCGCTGGAGGCGACCCGTTTGACCTCCGCCCGAAGCAGATCGAGCTTATCGATTGAGGTGTATACAAACACCTTAAAGTGAAACGGAGCCTCCTTATACATTGTCGCCGTAGGGTCCAAGCCTGATCCTTGCCTTGCCTCCTCCACCCCTCCAAGTCGTCGAGGGACCGTCTTCACTTTGCTGACATGCAGCTTGTCCCGTTCCTTCTACCATTCAGCTGCACACAAAGCGTTCGGCCTATACCTGTCTTCGAGGTCCTTGTATGACATGAAGAATGCATCATTCCATTCATTGTCGGCCCTTCCCTCGGCACAGAAAACAACGTAGTTGAACATACGGACCATGTAGCGTTCCTTGCGCATGATGTCGAGGAGGCACTCCGTATTCACTCTCGGAGGCATGACCTTGACGTTCGTCGCGACCACCTTCCGTTTCATGAGGAGGAGCAGTGCAACTTCCCTCTCGCGGCACGTCAAATCCCCGAAATTTTTGAAGTAGGAAGGACAAAGATCCTTCCACGACACGGTGGAGCCTTTGTAACCATCTCTCGCGTATATGCAATGGTATAATGTTATTTGCCCCTTCGTCTCGTCGGTGTACGGGCCTGGCTGGCGCCACTCCATCCTACCCGGCATGTCAAGCGGTATTTTACCATCGCCAACTGGCAGCTTCTCTTCGTTGAATATCTCGAAGAACTTCTCGACCAGTGGCCACACAGCATCGGTGGATGTAGCGAGGTTCATGTAGCCACGGTTTTTATTGCTCCAATCCTTACTGTACTCATTATCGAGCGCTTGCTTCACGAACGCCTTGTCGCATGCCTTCCCCATGGACACCCTTAAGAAATTTTGCCACTTCTTTTGGTGCGCAACGGCGACCTCATCCTTATCGCTGACCTTGCCTTTCGAGACCTCGATTCGGTGTTTATCGATCCATCATTGCCTCATATCACGGACAACATCCTCGAACGACAACATCATGGCCCGATTTTCGCACGTGTTGTCGAAGGCGGAGACATTGAAATACCCTCGCGTCTGGTGATCTCCAAAATAGACGACCTGCACCTTAGAGTACGCACGAAGGCCATAGACATCGACTGCCAGAGAGCCCTTTTTTACCAACGTCTTCATGGCCTCGACCGTATGCTGACCACAGACAGCGTACCAATCGAACTCCGAGGAGTCTCTTTCGAAGAATTCGGTTTGTGTTATCTGCCTTCCCTGCCCGCCGACGATTTCGTTGCGATCAACCTGCGCAAGCACGAGCTCAGGCCTATCCCACGCCCCTGGCTCCGTGGTGATGGAACTCTCGATGGCATTCTCGATGCCTCGCACAATGTTCGCAGACAAAGAGCGGTGGTTAAGAAGAATATTCCCGCGGGGAATGCGTTTGATTTTCATGACGTCCACAAGAACAGGAAGGAATTTTTGCTTAGCAAGACACCGCTCGTCGTACTCGAGGAAGAAACAACGCGTCGTGTCGATGGGCGCAGCGTACTGAAGCGGTTCGTCACCACCGTCGTGCATGCGAGGGCCCACTCCCTCGCACTCATCCCCCGAGTCCCGCAGTTCTTCTGCCCTCACTATCTGCTTACCTTTTCTTGCGCCACCACGACCGCCGCCACGACCGCCAGATCTTCCCCCCTGGCTGCTCTTCCGAGGAGGTCTCGCCTCCAGGGATGCTGTCAGAGCTCCACGAGCCTCATTAACAGCGTCAGTCCTCGCTTGTCTCTTGTGAGCGGAAGCAGAGGGAGAAGTTTCTCTTGTCCTTTTCCTCGACTCTGATCCTCCGTGTTCCTGCGAGTCATGCCCACCCTGACTCCCGCCTTGAGAATGCCATATCTCAGGGGACGACAAGGGCCGACCAACAGCGGCTCCCACAGAACCGGCGGGGATGTCGCCAGGGCCATGCTCCTACGTGACACCGACGTCGTCATCGCCTAGGATGTTCTGGTCCTGCATGTTCTCATCCCCAACGTCCATATACTCGTCATCACCGCCGTCCTCACGAGGACCTCAGCTTCCCCCATCTTCTTCCTCCTCGTTTCGCTCACTCAGGCCAGTCGCAGCTTCCTGGACATTGTCACGCGCAGCATTGCGTCCGTACAAAAGTCTGTCATTGCACTCCGTAGCCTCGCTGGAACATTGAGCGAGATCGTGACCTCCCCTCACCACGGGCAAGGGCGAGGGCGACGCGGCTGGCAAAGGCGGAGCTGGACAAACAGCCAAATGTTTCCTCTTCCCAACCGGTGGATATGGCGTCTGTCGCGATTTCCTCGAGCTCGTGACTAAGGGCACGAAAGCGCAGTCGGCTTGCTGGTCCAGAGGCAGCCTCGAGAAGGCTTCCCTGTACTCCTTAACGACATCTGTTAGTTGGTCCGCCGGGCTGCTGAATTTCACCAAGGGTTTGCTGAGCTCCGAGGAACTTTCGATGACAGGAAGGCAGCCAGTGACACGGTAGCCGTTCGTTCTACTGAGGAATTGTTCCGCAGTGAGCATGCGAAGCTCGGTGCCGTCCCCGCGCACGTCAAACGCTTTCATGGGGAAAGGCTTGACGCCGTAGCCTTGAAAGAGCCGCAAGTCAAGGCTGACCTTCTTGTCTTCCTTGACCCAATTCGTCCCTTCCTTGTCGAAAACTTACGTAAGGAAGAAGGTCCTTAACGATCTCCCGTCGTAGGTATTCCTGGCGCTCTCAAATTTCTCGACACCCCCACAGTAGTACCACGTCGCACCATTGTCGTCGCTCAAGAAGACGACGGCCCCACACCCAGGCTTATGCAGACCACCAACCCAGTCCAGAGCCCATGGTTTGTTGTTGTAGATCTTTGACCTGCCGTATGCCCGAGAGGTCGAGGCAGCTGGTTGACCTAGAGGGCACAAACAAAGGAAACGCACAACCAAAGAAAAAATGAGGAAGAGACAAAAACACTTCGCAAATGGAGTCGACGGCCCCCGCTCGCGTCGTCAAGGATCGGGGATCTGCCCTTCTCCAAACGGCAGACCCCCACTCCATAGCCGCGGGGGTCGGGCGTTCTGCAAACGCCCGACCTCCCACCCTCCGCGCACCGAGGGGGTCCGGCGTTTCCAAAACGGTCGATCCCCAGACCCTCGTCTCCCCACCCTCGTTTCTGAACAGGGGTCCGACGTTCCCAGAACGCCCGACCCCCGACCTTCGTTTCCGAAAGGGGGTCCGGCGTTCCCATAACGCCCGACCCCCGACCCCCGATCCTCGTTTCTGAAAAGGGGTCCGGCATTCCCTAGACGCCCGACCCCCCCGACCCTCGTTTCCGACGTTTCCGAAAGGGGGGTCCGGCGTTCCCAGAACGCCCGATCCCCGACCGTCCTTGATGAAAGGGGGTGGGGGGGGGGCGGGTCGGGCGTTCTTGGAACGCCCTACACGAGGCCCTCATATCTGAAAGGGGGGTCCGGCGTTCCGGGAACCCCCGAGCCCCCTATCGGAAAACGATGGTCGGGGGTCGGGCGTTCTGGGAATGCCGGACCCCCCGCCCCTGCCCCCCCCGCTCATCGATGGCAGGGGGTCTGGGGGTCGGGCGTTCTCGGAACGTCGGACCCCCGCGGTGCTAAGAGGGCGGGGGGTCGGGCGTTTTCAGAACACTAGACCGGGTCTCGCGTTCTGAGAACACAAGATTGCCATGGGTTGGAAAGCATTGGAATGCATATCTGGAAGTTTGTGTCATATCTTTACCTTGAGAAAAACATCGTCTGAAGCTTGACCTCTGAGGATCGGTATTACCTCTCTCTCTCTCTCTCTCTCTCTCTCTCTCTCTCTCTCTCTCTCTCTCTCTCTCTCTCTCTCTCTC